TCCCCCCCACCATTCCCGAACCCTCGTTGCTTTTATCACGAGGGTTTCTTCTGATTTTATCCCCTTTGTTCAAATGCTGTGGTCGCCACAACAGTAGGATTCCGCGGTGCCCCCCACCCCGATCTTTCCATATCCAGACCCCCCCCCCCCCTGTGTAGTGCTCTCTGGCGTCTACGAGGAGGAGATTTTTATGTTTGTATGTCATAACAATCAAGGAAGAGACGGACATCCCGATGTGTGAGTGAGACCTTCTGTTATGCAAGCCACCCTTGAACCTTACATGGGGAAAATGACCTCCCCGGAGGAAAGTACCCAGTACAGCAGCTGGGGCAAGTTGAGAGAAGAAACGGTCGTGGGACGCTTGGGTTGGTTACCATGCAGATCGCCTGGCACAAACTTGGGGTACTTGTGCTAAGGGTGTTGAACTTGGCTCCAGGCTATGAGCCCGTGTTGGAGGCACTTTTTAGTGTCGGTGAGCCGGCAAAAGAATTGAAAGACACCAGACCCTCAACAAGTACTAGGATTGGCAAGTCCCAGTAATTTGAAAGCATCCCACTTCAAACACAAAGAACGAGATAGTTTCGAAAGAGATAGGGAGGGAGACGACGAGGCACAAAGGGTGGAGAAGGAGAGAATGGAAAGGTGCAGTACTGGTAGTGTTGATATTTGGGGTCAATAGCGACATGACAAGGTTGGAGTTCAAAGGTAGATGTGAAGAAGTAGGATCATATTGCTTCGCAAGGGGGGGGGTAGAAAGGGAAGGAAACCACTTTAGAATCACGTTTGGAAGGAGAGTAAGCGCAGAATGGGAAAGCCTAGAAGTAGAGAAGATGTCGGCGTGGGTGAGGAGACTAGGTTGGAGGGTGTGCATAGCAAATAGGATCCAGGAAGTAAGGCGTAACCCAAGGCTGGCTGAAAACAAAGGGGGGCAGGAGGCCCGAAAGGGTCAAAAGGGAAAGCAAGCCAAAGTAGGAGAAGGGGGGGGCAGCGATAGGGTAAGGCAGAAGGGAAGGCAAATGAGGGACAAAAGGAATCCTGAAAGGCACAGGAAAGTAGAAAGTAGGAGTAAGGAAATCAGA